CTTCCTTGCTTCCTTGCTTCCTTGCTTCCTTGCTTCCTTGCTTCCTTGCTTCCTTCCTTCCTTGCATGTTTGAACCGTATCTGACGAGTATTACGGCGAATACGATAATATAAGACTTTTCCATTACCTACTCACATTTTACTTTCTTTACTTGTAGTACCAACAACTACACAGCCTCCAACAACATTACCGAGAACGGAAAAACCTATCGATCATGGTAAATATTAAGACATCCATGTACATCAATCGCGATATAGAGCGAGCGAAATGTTTTCCCATTTCAGACCACGTGTCATTCTCTTGAGAATAAGATCCTTTGTTTGAGTTGTATCCATATTATGAGTCTTCTTACGCTAACTGTTAACCAAATACATGATACTCTAAGAAATGAAACGCGGTTTGAGATGGGAAAACATTACAGCCAAGGTAAAGCGGTCTATTGGAACATAGGACGAGCAACAATACCTCTGAATATAAAGACTCTTTATTACTTGAGTTATTCCTACAACCGTGTAAATGTTCAGACGTGATAATGAAAACATGTTACTAAAGGGTGTGACGCATTTATGTCCTTCGCGTAATTCGTGGACTTTGTTTATCTAATCTTGTTCTTGTTATGCATATGACATAATGGTTGTTATGGTGAAGTATACATAAGACGGAAAGGGGGGAGGGGGGATGGGGGTCGGGGGAGACTTGAAAATGCTAATTGATCAAAAGTTCATGATTTCAATTTGACGTATATTACCTTAGCCGATCGTTTGGAGATCCATACTAGTAGATACGAAAGCAATTTCACAGCACCCACGATTCTCTGCAATGTTTCTTTTCTCTATCATCCATTATGGTGGCAATGTCTTCTGTCATATTATCCAATATGGCGGCAATATCATCCAACATGGTGGTCATGTCTTTAACCCTTTGATTTTCTCTTCAGGTAACATCAAATGTGGAACAAAAGGCAAGGGGAACACGAGAATAGTCGGCGGCACTCGAGCCAAAAAAGGAGCCTGGCCTTGGCAAATCTCAATGAACTACAAGAATAACAAAGCAGCCAAGACCCCTCATTGGTGTGGAGGTTCTGTTGTGGCTAGACAATGGATCGTTACTGCTGCTCACTGCTTTGTTTATGGGGACAACCCCGATGACTATACCGTGGTGATGGGTAACAAGACTGTATTGTTCTTTAGATAGTAATAGCGTGATCGAATTGGCAGGGAAAAAGCAGAGAAAACGATTAAGAAAAAAAGGCGCCTTGGAAGAGAATGATGATTAGGGGAAAAAGGATAGGAGAGAAAGAGGGAGAGAGAAAGTGGAATGGAAAAAAGATATTAGTTAACCGAAATGGAAAGAGAAAACGAATGAGAAAACAAATGAGAGACGAAATTAAAAATAGAAAAGGAAAAAGAGGGAGAGTTGGAGAGAAAGGGACATGAGAAAGGAAAAGAGAAAACCAATAAATGAAAGAAAATGATTATAGTGAAACAATAAGAAAATATAATTTCTATTTCCAGTTTCAATCACGTAAGCGTAGCCATTTCATACGTCTTGTTTCAGGTGAACACGATCTGAATGTCACTGATGGCTATGAGCAGAAAATAGGCATTGAACGTATCATCAAGCATCCATTCTACGACGCCTACAATAACCACGACTATGACGTGGCTTTGATCAAACTGAAGTCCAACCTGATCTTCAATGATCGAGTACGACCAGTATGCCTGCCTTCAAACGATTATCCAGCAGGGACTAACTGCTATATCAGTGGATGGGGACATCTCTTTGAGTCAGGTCACGGACCATGGGTACTGCACCAGGTAAGGGACTAACTGATATATCAGTGAATGGGGACATCTCTTTGAGTCAGGTCATGATGGACCATGGGTACTGCACTAGGTAAGGGACTAACTGGTACATCAGTGGATGGGGACATCTTTTTTTTGAAAGCTCATGATGGACCATGGGTACTACACCAGGTAAGGGACTAAC